TGACACCATGCAAAACCATGAAAAAACGGGGGCTGCATGCAAGGAGTCCGGCCGGCGTGGAATGCTTCATGAGGATAGGTTCATACAGTTAGGCATTGCTAAGTGATGTAGATGGCCGGTAAAAGCCGATTCTGAATTGTGCGCGCGCTCGGAAGATGAGGCTGTACGTTGTAACGAAGGTCAGTTTGCCTATTTTCCTCTGAAAATCATACGTTATATCGAAGTTTACGCTGTAAAGGAATAATGCATTACGCGAATTCGGGACATCGAAATTTGAACGTTGTATTGGTGTAAACGTTATAAACGGGGTACGTTGTAACGAGGTTCGACTGTATGCAGCACGCATTGGACCGAGGCTTACGTCCCGCTACGTTTCGGCCTCATTGCGTCATCGCGTACCGGGAACGCTGACGTGTAATCGCGGAAGTGAGCCTGGTGCCTTCGTTTTGTCCACTTGGTGACAGTTCATAATGGAAAGATTTGCGGTTTTACACTGAATTACTACGCAAACAGGAGTCGGACCTGACTGGACAGCAGACATCGTGAGTGCGGATTTGTTTGCTCTTTGTTAGAAATGTCGCTTCGTTTTAAAACAATGACATAAACTGTCCATGTGAACCGGCTAACTTCTTGCAGCTAACTGGCCGTCGACTTACAAACTGCAATACACAACTATCAAGCTGTAGCGGCACTGTCATTGCATAAATCATAAATCGAACATATTGTCATCTTAAAAGTAAAGTAATAAATGCTATTTTTACTCCCTGTCTAATTTGCTACACGCAGCACGACAAATACCTACACTTGAGGCATTGTGGGAACTGTTTATTGATATCTTTTTATTTTATCAAGTTAATCAGTATATGTATATATTTCACGGTAAGACTGCTAAGCATTTAACCACGACTAAACGTGAAACTACCTAATAACATCCTTTGCAGAATGCTATGACGAGCATATCAGCACTAAAGTACAACACTTCCTGGTATTGCCAGCCTGATTAGCAGGGTTATACGTATGAATGAACTGTTTTCGATAAACAGGAATATAACTTTTCAGTGCTTCATAAGTGAAATTGTGATCTCTTGAACGTAATGGGAAAGACAAGTGCTATTAAGTGTAATGTACTTCAGCTTATGGTTAGAATTCTGGATTTTGAATTAACTGTAGGGCAGAAGGTGTGTGATTTGTGCTTTGTGACATTATGCATTACTAATAGTCTAATTTGCTATAGACAAATACAGTCGTAGCCTAAAATATTGGCGACTTTACATACACTCACCTAAAGGATTATTAGGAACACCATACTAATACGGTGTTTGACCCCCTTTCGCCTTCAGAACTGCCTTAATTCTATGTGGCATTG